ATGGGGGATGTGAAGGGCGCAGTGGAGATGGGGGATGTGAAGGGTGCAGGGGGAGGTGGGGGATGTGAAGGGCGCAGTGGGAGGTGGGGGATGTGAAGGGCGTAGTGGAGATGGAGGATGTGAAGGGTGCAGGGGGAGGTGGGGGATGTGAAGGGCACAGTGGAGGTGGGGGATATGGTGGGTGCAGTGGCAGGTGGGGGATGTGAAGGGCGCAGTGGGAGGTGGGGGATGTGAAGGGTGCTGGGATTGCAGGCGTGAGCCACCAGGCCTGGCCGGGTGTCGGGATTTCATTCTAGGCACAAATGAGAAGTTACTGTAGAGTATTGAACAGGGAAGGGACATGACTCATATTTAAAGTAACACTCTGACATCCACGTGGAGCCTAAAGTGGCGGCACATAAGAATGGAAGCTGGGTGACCAGTTCTGAAGCTACAGGCAAGAAATGCTGGTCTATCAGTGTCATGTAGCACAATGGTACCAGCCCAGGAGCGCCAGTTGGGATATTAAAACAAGTATATGTTGCCTCTACCCTCAAGTCACAACCAGTTGTGTGTGTGAATGCTGGGAGCCAGCCAGCAGATGATCAGGGAAAGCCCCCTCCATCTAGTAGTCAAAGGTCATGGATGCTGGCAGAGCCCCACCCAGTGAAGACATATTCTATCAAAAATACATACAGCACCTCTGTTGAGAAATACTAACCCTACACATAATTAAACATATGTTCTTCCTTTTCCCCTTAACATCATACCATAAGCATTTCCCTAAACGATAAACACTCCTTTCTTCAATAAACACTCTTGTGTATAAGTCTTTGCCTACATTTCTTTTCTACCCATCTAACAATGAAAACACACATGACTCTCTCCTCCGTTATTCAGTCACGTCACAAGACTGTGAAGTAGATGAATGGCCAGGTTAGGATAAGAGCAAAGTGAGGTTCAGAGATGGTCAACAGTTCTACGTCGCAGTCATTCTAACGGGATCACGCAGCCTCAGAGTGCAGAGCCACCACGTGTTTTCTCTCCACTCTTCCCAAGCACCTTCCCAAGCAAGGGACGATCCAAGTGTGTGGTGGTGACCTAGAATGGGCCAGCCCCCAAGCATGTCTTTGGAGTTCAGTCGAGTCATCTCAGACCCATGACTGTTTAAAACCTTACAAGAGTGGCTCACGCCTGTAATCCCAGCACTTTGGGAGGCCAAGGCAGGCAGATCACCTGAGATCAGGAGTTCAAGACCAGCCTGACCAACATGGAGAAACCCCATCCCTACTAAAAAGACAACATTAGCCAGGCTTGGTGGTGTACGCCTGTAATGCCAGCTACTCGAGAGGCTGAGGCAGGAGAATCGCTTCAACCGGGGAGGAGGAGGTTGCAGTGAGCCGAGATCATGCCACTGTACTCCAGCCTAGGCGACAGAGCGAGACTCCATCTCAATAAATAAATAAATAAATAAATAAAACCTTAAAATGAAGAACCACGAAGACTCAAAGAACCCAGATTCTGGATTCTCAAAAGTTTAAGATTCCCAGACTTTCAGAGCCTGGGACTCAAAGCTACGGGATCACACTTTCAGAACTAGAAGGGCCCCAGTGTGGTGGTCCTCACCTTACCGGTCATGGAAATGAGGCACAGAGGGCCAAGTCCAGTGGCTTCCTCTTTGCCTGGCTAAGCCATCCTTCCTTCTTCCCCTTCACTTCCCTCTCCCTCCCACCCCTCCTCCTCCCACCTCTCCCACACCCCCTCACGGTCTTCGGTGAGCATTCCCCAGCCGGTTATCCAACAGGACACGTTACTGGGCAGCTGCATGTCCTGGGATGGGAGGCAGGCGGGGACAACGTAGGAAGTGAAGTTCACAGGCAGGTGCAGCTGCAACATGGCAATGTCACTCCCAAAGGGGTGGAGCTTCTCAAAGTCTGGATGGGTGATGATCTGGTGCACAGACATCTTCTGGGTGTGCTGGGTTTGATGATACAGTTGGGTGTTTCCCAACAGAACCTGATAGTTCTCCGGGGCCTGGGATTTGCTGGAGGAGGAAGGGCCCATTTTTACCATCCTCTGGGAGTGCGGGGCAGCACTCTCTTCTTACATCCACGTGTAACTGCCCACACACCTCTGGCTCCTTCTCCCCGGACATGATTCCAGGTAGCTTTGTATCCCCCTTTCTGAGTCAGGAGCTTTTCTTTCTTTGAGGCTAATGGATATTCTACTCACAACCTCAGGACATGTGGCCTCCCCAGTACACCCTTAAATCAGAGGAGCAGAGAATCCTAGTGCCAGAAAAGTCCTTGGCAGAGGCATCACGTCGAGCCCTTTTATTTTACACAAGAGGAGCTCTGGCTTAATTCTGGCTCCAGCCTGACCCTTCCGAAGGCTACCTATGACCCGCTTCCTGGCCTAACCACCTTTCCTGCCCTCCCCAAGGGTGTCTTCCCCACTGTTGTAAGCACTCACAAAGGATTTGTTCAATGTCCAGATGAGTGCATGAAACTGGTGCTCTCCTTGTTCCTGAACACAAGTGATGAAACTTCTGACCTTTGTGACTTTGTTCACATGGGTCAGCCACCAGGAAAGCCCTCGCCACACTCCCCATGCCAAAGCCTCCCCTTCTGGCAAGTGCCTGCAGCTCCTCGTCCTCCCTCAAGACTGCAGCATCTCTCTGGATGCCCCGGCCTCACGTCAGCTCTTCTCACTCATTGTGGGCTTTCTCTCCTGCATCCTGCTTGTGGGAGCTTGTGCCTCGCCTTCCCATAGAGACACCTTCACTTGGGGTCTTGCCACACCCTGTGCCATAGAGGGTCTTGGGTGGTGTGACACACAGGAGATGCTCACAGCGCCCAGTTCGAGTCTCAAAGCCACTAAGTGCCCAAGCTGACTCCATACCTGGACTGTGATGCCTTCCTCTCCCTCTGGGTCCCTCCATGACTGTTGAGAAGCTGGGCACAGAGTCAGGTTCAGGAGGGTCAGAGGAGTTGCACCCCTGACTGTCCACGTCATTCTCCAGGGTCAGGGGGCCCCATTCTTTCCACCCATGCATGTAGTCTGGCACAGCTCCTTCCAGGCATACAGTTTTACAGAAAAAAAGCATTGCCTGGCTGCTGGCTACACGCAGAGTCCCCAGTCCCTGCCTGGAGTCTGACTCACAAGAGCATGGTGGACACTGAAGAGAAACCTGCAGGAGGCCAGCACAGACACTGCCAATGCTCTCAGGCATGTCTCGGTTGAACAGACAGACATAGGGGCCAGGGAACTCCCTGCCAGAGTTGAGGATGAAGGATGAGGAGGATCTGGGCAGATGGAGGGACAGTGGGTGGAGAGTGGGGAGGACAGTCCTGGTGGAGAGGACTGCAGGTCAAAGGCAGGCACTGCGTCAGTTTGGTGGCAGCAGACTTGCCCAGAGCAAAGCCCAGAGGAGAAAGGCATACCCCCCCCAGCCCGCTAACCCTCGTCCCTTGCATCTTCCTCCCCATCAGCCCCTCTGCTGGGGCCCAGGGAAGGAGGACTCACTTGAGAAAGCAGTGGGCTGTCGACACCAGCCAGCGAGAGTCGATGAGGACAGCTCCACAGAGGTGCGAGCTCCGATACAGCAGGCTGGCCTGCCATGGCCACTGACCAGCTGCTGCGTCCTGGCCACCGTAGATCTTCCCCACCACCTTAGGCTTCCCACACACTGTGGAGACACCCCGGTCCACCTGTTAGAGACACTAGTGGTGCCCATGAATGCCACCCCAGTGAGGCCTCTGCTGTCTTCACAGATGGGAAAACCAAGGCCAAAGAATAGGTGACCTGGCCAAAATGACTGAGGGCTTCCCCAGCGTCTGCCTTCTATGGTCACTACCAGGACCAGATGACAGAGTACAACTGAGCAGGCTCTGTGGGAATGAGGGCCCAGGGGTCTGGCAGGCAGGGCAAGGCTGACCCAGGGTGGCCACAGCAGCTCATCTGGACCTGCCAAGGACTGGTGGACTGGAATCCAGCCCTGGGACTTTATTTCCCTCCATCAGAACACCTGTATGCCTACTTTACAGATCAAAGAACTGAAGGTCTCAGGGGTGTCCAAGTGGCTGTGCCCCCTGCATCTCACCCCAGTATCCCAGGGAGAGAGATTCTCAGGCAGGAGTCTGTTGTGCTGTGTGACTTGGGGAAACTTGCTTCCCCTCTCTGATTCCTGATCTTCTATTTTTAGAAGGTGAGGGGATGTGGCTGATGTGGACAACCTTGGTTCTGAGACTCACACCTGGGAGGGGGAGCTGTGGGCCTAGACCCCTGAGACCCACCGTCCTGATCCCTGGCCTACGCTTCCAGGCCTCAAGAAGGGGACATGAGACCCCAGGACCCATCCTATTCCCGGTGCCCAGCAGCAGTCCTGGTGCTGTCTCCCTCCACCCAGCCCCCGCACCAGGTCCTGGTGCCCCGTCCAGTTCCGTGGGCCCCACACTCAGTCCTGGGACAGAGAACGGGCAGCCTGACCCACCTTGTTTGATGTCGTTTCTGGAGCCACCTGGTTGGGAGGGGAGGGGAGCCAGACAACGGATTCGGTTGACTTCGGGCCCTGGCACCAGGCCCAGAGCCCGGCCCTCCTCCCCACCGCCTCCGGCCTGCGGTTCCCCCATCTCTCCGTGACGCCCGCCTCTCCCGGACACTCCTCACCCCACCCGGTCTTGCCGAGCCCTCGACCCCTGCCCCCGTGGCCCAGTGGCCCCCTCAAATGCCCCCTGCCCCCTGCCCCCTGCCTCCGAGGCCGGCTCGGCCCCACGCCCTCTGCTTCAAACGGACCCTGGGCTCTGACTGCGGGCTCCCGGCCCTGCTGCGCCCCCAAGCTCTCTTCGGCCGCCCCCGAGCTCTCTCTGGTCTCCCCCGGAGCCTGCGAGGGGCTGGGGGCGCGGGACGGTGGGGCAGGGGCGGCCTCTGGGTTCAGGAGCAGCAGCGGCAGCAGAGACCAGAGCAGGGGCCCCGGCTGGACTCTGGTCCGCGTTGACCCCACACCCATCGCCTGACGCAAGGGAGAAGGAAGGGGAACTGGAGCCGACCCTGACCCCCGAAACAGGCGGTGACTCCTGGCCCTGGCTCCTGGGAAACAGGTCCTGACCTCGCCCTGATCCCCAGCCCCAGACTGGCGCTGAACCCAGTGCCTAACCCCGTCCCAAGACAGCCCCTGACCCCGCCCTGACCCGCCCCGTGTCCGACCCCTGACACCCAGGAAGCAGTCTTTTGCCAGAGAATTCCTTAGGCAGCCGCAGGTCCCAGAACAAAGGAGAGGGTGAAAGCTGCCGGGAGCTTGTCCTTCTCTCCACTACGGAGACAACTCACAGTCTCCAAAACGCATCTCCTTTCTGGGAACTCTTTATCTCCGCACCTTGAAAGCTGTCATCTCGCCTAGTGTTCTGGGCTCCAGTTGCCTTTTCTAGATAGGTGAGGAAGAGGTGGAGAACCCGGGCCAAGACTTGTCAAGAGTTTCCAAGGGCAATTTGGGGAAAAGATGAGAGGAGGACGTGAACATCTGTCCCCAGCTGGTTCACTGACTTACCCCCGTAATCTTAGCACTTTGGGAAGCCAAGACGGGAGGTTCACCTTGAGGCCAGTAGTTCAAGACCAGCCTGGGCAACATAGCAAGACCTCCCCATCTCAACTCAGAAAAAAATAAAATAAAATAAAATAAAATAAAATAAAACAAACAGCTGTCCCTAGGTGGAAGAGGCTTGGGGTTTCTCTCAGGAATCCCTGTTTCTATGGAACTGCGGGGACGACACCAGTCCCCTGGTCTGAGTTGGCAGCACAGCTCCACTGCACAACCGTGCGGGTTGAGAGTAGTTTCAGTGTCCACCCTCCTGGAGCCATGCTGCTCAGAATAAATATTATCTGAGCCACATATGTAACCTTAAATTTTACAGTAACAACATTCAACTAGAAATAGGTGAAATTGATTTTAATATTTTTTATTTTACCCAATATGTCAAAAAATTATTGTTTCAACATATAATGCAGGTAAAAATCATCGAGATAGTTCACATTCTGTTTTCCATGGTAAGTCTCCAAAATGTGGTGTGTGTTGTGTTGTCTACTCACAGCACAGCTCAGTTCGGCCTCGCCATGTTCAGGTGCACAATCATCGTGTGTGGCCCAGGGCTGCTGTCCTGGACAGCACAGGAAAAGTGAACACAAACTCCCTCCTTGCTCTTCTCCTCCCACACCTGCTAGCCTATAAGAGGAGAAAGCAGCCCTTCCTGGGTTCAGTGTGGTAGTTCATGGTGGCTGAGACGAGCCAGAATCCCAGGGCTGCTCTGAGGGCTCTGAGGGAAGGAGTTCAGTCTGTACTCTGGCCTCCTCTCTTGAAGAAATGGAGATGTGGTCGGGCGTGGTGGCTCACGCCTGTAATCCCAGCACTTTGGGAGGCCGAGTTGGGGGGATCACGAGGTCAGGAGATTGAGACTATCCTGGCTAACATGGTGAAACCCCGTCTCTACTAAAAATACAAAAAATTAGCTGGCCTGGTGGCGGGCACCTGTAGTCCCAGCTACCCAGGAGGTTGAGGCAGAAGAATGGCGTGAACCTGGGAGGTGGAGCTTGCAGTGAGCCCAGATCACGCCACTGCACTCCAGTGTGGGGGAGAGAGCAAGACTCTGTCCCAAAAAAATAAAAAATTAAAAAATTTAGGCCGGGTGCGGTGGCTCACGCCTGTAATCCCAGCACTTTGGGAGGCCGAGGCGGGCGGATCACAAGGTCAGGAGATCGAGACCATGGTGAAACCCCATCTCTACTAAAAATAGAAAAAATTAGCCGGGCGCGGTGGCGGGCGCCTGTAGTCCCAGCTACTCGGGAGGCTGAGGCAGGAGAATGGCGTGAACCCGGGAGGCGGAGCTTGCAGTGAGCCGAGATTGCGCCACTGCACTCCAGCCTGGGCGACAGAAAAAAAAAAAATTTAAAAAAAGACTGTTAGGGGAGCCAGAGATCATCTCTAGCCCCCCTTTTAGTTCTCAGTGAGCTCTTCATCTGGATCTAGAAACCAAATTGACACCAGGCAGATTGGGTTTTTTTTATATATAACAAATCATTTTTATTTCTTTTAACCTATTATTTATTCATTTATTTTGAGACAGGGTCTCTGTTGCCTGGGCTGGCATGCAGTGGTTCGATCACAGCTCACTGCAGCTTTGATCTCCTGGGCTCAAGTGGTCCTCCCACCTCAACCTCCTGAATAGCTGGGACTACAAGCACATACCACGCCCATCTAATTATTTTTATTTTTTGTAGAGATGGAGTCTCACTGTGTTGCCCAGGTTGGTCTCGAACCCCTAAGCCACAAGTAAGCCTCTTGTCTTGGCCTCCCACAATGTTGGGATTACAGACACGAGCCACTGCCCATCCTGAGAGCGGGTAGATTAACAAAAGAAAAGTATACAAATTTCATTAGTTTTACACGAACATGAGGATCTTTACAAGAGAGTGAAGTCTGAAGAAGTGGCCAAAGCAAGATGCTTTTATACTTTCTAGATAAAGAGCGATAAATTTAAGAAAAAACGACGGGACAAAGATAATCTGGCAACAGGCAGTAAGTTTCCCAGGGGAGTCACTAGGAGGTATGGGAGGTGTCAAACTAGTGGAAGACAAGGGTTATTCATTAAGTATATTTGTTTAGGTCCATTGCGGCCTCCGGTTCCCAGTCTCTGGGGATAGGGCTCTTTCTTCGCCCTGGTATGGCGAGGGTGCCCTTCCAGGAAGCTTTATGGCTTGTTTCGTTAAGAAGAGACACGTCAGCTCACCCTTTCTGAAACTACAGTTTCTCCAATATTATCAACTCAAAATAATCAATATACCAATCTGACATATTTGGGATGGCACATCCTTCACTCCTTCATTTCCTTGGCTTGGAACTTCACTAGACGTTTTCGAACATTAAAATCTGAGTTGCTAGCTGTGGAAAGAAGGGTTGAGTTAGTAGCTCTATCGCAAGGGATCTGAAAAGGGAGAGAAGAGCATCGATTAGGGGAGTGGACAAACAGAAGAGAACAATCTAAGCACAGTTTCCACACTGCAGCAAGCCAGCTTCCCCTTGCTGGGAGGAGGTTTGTCCAAGAAAATGTTTTAGCCTCACTTATTTCATGAAAAACATTCGTCTTGTCTTTTAAGACATGTCGATTAGACTCTATATGTCCAGAACAATTTACATGAAGTCAGTATATTTTCTTTTCATTCTTTTTTCTTTCTTTCTTTATTTTTTTGAGACAGGGTCTTGCTCTGCCACCCAGGCTGGAATACAGTGGCATGCTCATGGCTCACTGCAGCCTTGACTTCCAGGGCTCAAATAATCTTCCCATCTCAGCCTCCCTAGTAACTGGAACTACAGGTGCATGCATGCCACCACGCCTGGCTAATTTTTGTATTTTCTGTGGGGATGGGGTCTCACTATGTTACCCAGGCTAGCCTCAAAATCCCAGGCTTCACCAACACTCCTGCCTCAGCCTCTCGAAGTGCTAGGATTACAAGGATTAGAAGCGTGAGCCACCACACCTGGCTAGCCTCTCAATATTGAATAGAACTCTGCCCCATTGGTGATCAGGTGACCACCCAGGTCCTGGAGCCTGACCATTCCTGCCTCCTTGTATGAACAAGGGTAGTGGCTGTTCCCTCTGCTTCTGCAGCCCCCTTGCTGAGGCGGCTGGTTGCTCTCAGAGCTAGCTAAGGTCACCAACTTGGTTTTGTGGGACATGCACAAGCCCCAAGTAGCCATGCGCTGCTCTGAGAGGGCTCACCCTGCCTTGGGCCAGACTCCATCACTGGCCAGGGCCACAGCAGTCTTGGTTTTCTCCAAGGTCATGGCTGGAGTACCCATGGCACCCCTGGTCTCTCTCTCCTACAGGGGCTTCATTTGATGCTGGGCTGGACACCTCTGGATTTCAGGCTTGGGGCGTTTGAGGGGACTGTGTCCCATAGGAGGTCAGCATGAGGACATAGGACATGCTGCTGGCTGGCCAGAGCTATGAGGATGACACACACACCCTCCCCTCCAGAGGCCTCCAAGTCTCCAGCTTCCCTGTGGATGCTGGTTTCAGCTGGCTGAGGGGCTGTCTGGGGCTTCCAGGCACTTGCAGGGTAGGCTGCTGTCCTGGCTCCTTCCAGACCACGGAATTCCATTGCAGTAACTAACCACCAAACAATGAGTGGTTTGTCCTGGGCTGGGGACAGGCAGGCCAGACCCTGAGCCCCTAGGGCCCCCAGAGGAAGGCCTGTGGCCCCAGGCTCTTTGGAGACCCCCTGGTGCCACTGAGGGCCTCAGCCATGGGGACAGCCCAGCCAGGTGAGGGTTGGGCAGGACCAGGCTCCTGTTTTCCTGGGACTACCCTTATGGGCTGCTGGGCCAGGGAGAGCCAGCCCATGCTCTCTGGGGAGGGTCTCCAGGCTGGGGGAGGCCAGCAGAGGCCTGGGGGCTGGGACACTCGCTCCAGGCCAAGGGCCATCCTGGGGACTCTTCAGGTTTCCCTGAAAGGAAAGGAGGCTCGGTCGGCTTCTCCACCCAGCCCATCTGACCCTCGCAGGGATGGGCCCCATGGACCTGGATCCCTGGAGTCCTCGTGGTCCCTGCATGGCCCTCCTGAGTGACACTGAGGACACTGCTGCGGGCCCTGATCCCAGAGCGAAGGGTGTGTGCCATCCGGGGATGGGAGCTTTCGGGGCATCTCAGGCTGCTCCTGGGACGGCCCCATGGGGTTCAGGTGGCTCAGTCTCCCTGATTCACACCCTCGCCCTCACCTCTGCTTCAGCCCTGATTCAGAGCAGGTGGGAGAGGCCTTAACTGTCATCCAACCCACTTGCCACCTAACCTGGGGCCTCTCTCCACCGTGGGTAAGATGCCCCCAGGGCACTGGGCTCCCCCTGTCCTCTGGAGCCCCCTCTGCCCTCTGTCCTTTCCAAGCTGGGCCTGGACCGTTCCCACACTCAGTGGAACCCTCAGTTCTGCCCCTTGGCCCAGGGTCCCACCTCTGCCCTTTCCCTGAATCCTGGCTCTGAACACTGGTTCTCTCTACTCTGTGGCTCAGGGCTTGTCCTGACCTCCTTGGAGGGGTGCTCAGGAGTGAGGGGTCCCTGTTGCTCTCTGGGGGGCTGCTGCAGCTCCTGGATGGGTCTGAAGGCTCCTGTGCCCTTCAGGTGGCCCTCAAGGGTGTGGAGGAGGGGCTCAGTGGTGTCCGGCCTACATCCCCCATCTCCTCTTCGAGGCATATCCAGTAACCTCTCGGTCAGCACCTGGCCGGAGGCTGAGCCAGGAGGGGCTCGGTGGTGTCCGGCCTACATCGCCCATCTCCTCTTTGAGGCATATCCAGTAGCCTCTTGGTCAGCACCTGGCCGGAGGCCAAGCCTGCCTGGTTTTCAGAAGCTTCTTGGAGTACAGGAGGAGGAGGAGAGGAGGAGGAAGGCCTAGGAAGCAGAGCTTGGGGTACCCCAGGCACTCCCCACTGTTTTCTGCTCCAGATGGTGAAGCAGGAGGGCACCTCAGGCTGGAGCCCCCTGGGGGCGGGTTGCACTTTATTCTTTGAAGCTGTGCCAGGGAGGCCTGTGGGTGCCTCAGCACCACGTGTCCTTCCGGGCCTAGGCCTCGGATAGCATGTGCTATAGAAACCCATCCAGGGACAGCCTCAGGAGGTGTTCTAGGCATGGGGGTGGGCATCAGGCTGGGAAGGGCCCTCTGGGAGGGGCCAGTGCCCAAACCCTGCTCCCTCCCCGGTGCTTTGCACTGAGCAGCTGCTGGATCACCTGCCCTTGGGGGTACAGTTGTGCACAGGAAGCCACAACTGGTGGGAAGCCTGGCCAGGGAAGCACCCACCACACTCCTTTTATCTGTGTTGTGTCGGTGGTGAGCCTGGTGTCTGGGAGGACCCGTGGTGCCCTGCCCAGCCCACCCAATGGGGCAGGGACAGAAGGCACTATGGCTTTAAGTTGCCATCACTGGGCCAGTGTAGCCATCACCTGGCCCAGCTGTGAGGCCCCATGGGCAGCTGTCCATCCACAGCGTCTGGCAGGTTTTTGCTGGTCAGCAGCTGAGCCAGTGCCAAGAAGGCCTCTTTCTCCTTGGGGAACATCAGCAGGACAACAGCGACCTGGCTCACACCCTGGCAGTAGCCCATCTCCTGCAAGAGTCAAAGTCACTGTGCCAGAACTTCACGTGGCAGGGCAGAGGTCACCTGGGAGGACAGACCTCACCTGAGAGATCTGAGGTCACCTGGGAGGCCTAAGGTCACCTGAGAGGCCCCCACCTCAGGCCTTGCAGGATTTGACACTAGGCACCCTTCTCCTGACAGAATAGACCCGAAGCACACAAAATAAAGCCTGCTGCCTAGAAAAGAGACAAAAGAATGTTGTGTTTGTTTTGTGCTAATGCTGTTTAATTTTGTAGCAAACCGTGACAGTGCTGGTCTGAAACTCCTGGACTCAAGTGATCCTCCTGCCTTGGTCTCCCGAAGTGCTGGGATTACAGGCATGAGTCATTGTGTCCGGCCACTTGCTCATCTTTCGTTGAGATTTGGGCATCTGAAAAAACAGCCATCTCTCTTAGCCTTTATAGACTGGCTTTGTGAAAAGGAACAGCATCACACAATAGTTTAGCTGGAGATCTTGGGGACCTCTTGAATCTTTTCTAGGGATGTAACTTCTCTGGGTTTGTGTAATTTCCTGAAGAGGTTTGCCCGTTTCTTTTTAAGGAACTCATAATTTCTTGCTCCCCTTGGTATCTGTTTACGATACTAGCTCCTGCAGTGCTGTAACAAGGCTATAGCTCTCACATTTGTTCTCAGCAGCCCCCAAAGTCATCCAAAGTACGACACTGTTCCTGTCAGTGCTCCGAGTCACATGAACAGAAATCCGTCCTGTGGTCAGCCCCACTATAAGCCAGAACATGGGACATACATTCCACTCTACTCTTTCCCTCTTGAGAAAGAAGGTGCAAGTGGGAGATACCTCCAGATTGTGCTGCACTGTGCGTGGTACTGAGAGAACCTATGGTATGCAAACGTAATGGACTTTCTCACCTGCTTCAAATCAGCTCTTCTTGCTTCTACGTTCACCTGGGGTATTGCAACTTTTTAACTCATTTCTGAAAAGTTCTCACAAAGGCAATTTGGTCCATATAGTGTTAAGTCAGTGTCTCTATGGGAGAATGAGGGTCTGGGGCTTATTTTTTTTAGTTTTTAGTTTTTGAGACGGAATCTTGCTTTGTCGCCCAGCCTGGAGTGCAGTGGTGCAACCTCAGCTCACTGCAACCTCCGCTTCCTGGGTTCAAGCGATTCTCTTGCCTCAGCCTCCTGAGTAGCTGGGATTACAGGAATGTGACACTATGCTCGGCTAATTTTTGTATTTTTAGTAGAAATGGGGTTTCACCATGTTGGCCAGGCTAGTCTCAAACTCCTGACCTCGTGATCCGCCACCTCAGTCTCCCAAAGAGATGGGATTACAGGTGTGAGCCACCATGCTCGGCAGGGCTATTAACATTTTGCCATCTTGCTGATGTCACTCACCACTGTTTTTTCATCACTTTACTTTCTGTTACTACAAGATGTTCCAGACTCATCTCGTACATTCCCAGCTCCAGCTCTAGAATCAGCGATTTTTCCCAGGGAAACCTAATTCCCTTCACGGGAAAATTGCTTTAGGAACCACGATCTCAGCGGGGTTGCTGCCACTTGGTAGAGCACATGACCCAGTAACTCCCTAAGAGTACATGGGAGATAATTTTAAGACCTAACTCATGTCTGAAAATGTCTTTAACTTCATATTTGTTTGATAATTTGGTTGTGTAGAATATAGTCAGAAAACTTTCCCCGAAGAATTGGGGAGATTCTCTTCTTGCCGTGTTGCTGAGAAATCAAATCCTTACTAAATTGTTCTGTGCTCCCAGAGGTTGAAAAGAAAAATCCTTACTAATTGCTAATCTTTTCTATATCCCTTTTGCTTTTTTCTTTCTAGAAACTTAGTCTTCTCTTTATGTTCTGAAATTTCTGTTATGTGCCTTGGGAGTGAGTCTATTTTCATGCATTGTGCTAGACATTTGAAGGTATCTTTCACTCTGGCTGTAAGTTCTGCAAAATTTGTTTACATTAATTATAATTTTCTGACCTTATTTTTCTTCTTTCTGGAATTCCTACAATTTGGATACTGGAACTCCTGGACTCTAACTTATGTACAGTATCTCTTTTCTCCCACCTTATATATTTAATCTATCTAGCATTTGGAAAATTTCAACACTATTTTCCAATGATTTTTTTTTTCATTTATATTAAGTCTTATATTAACAGGAACATGTTTTTTCTCTTGAGATTTTCAGGTTTTGTAGCATTGTTATTTTATAGATGTAGTATCTTGTAACTCTAAGGATACTAACACATTTGGCAGGGGGAATGTTCTTCTCACTGCATCGTTTGATTCCTCAAAGTTCCTTTGGTTTTCTCTTTGGTTTTGGATTAGAGGCTTTCACTACATCTCTGGTAATTCTAGATGGGGGTCTCCTGAATAAGAGTTGGGGGCTAAACACTGACCTGAGTATGGGTGGGACTTCTCAACTTCAAAGTTCATTGTTCAGAGTGAGCCTTTTTCCCAGGCAATACTTGGTGTCAATCTTTTATATTCTTCTTTGGTATAGTGGACAGTATATATAAAGCCACTTAATCTTGTTTCCAGTACAGTACTGTGTGTAAAGGAATTTGGCCTTGCCCTTGGGATGTTATGCTACAGAGGAATGCCTTTGTTTACCTGGGGATCCTGGGTCGTAATGAATAGCCTTGACAATATGATTTATGGCTGGGGTGGGACAAATCTATATAGTCTTATAGTGGTGGGGTACAATACATCAGACATACCAACAATATGATTCAGGATGGAGGTTTTGGGTCATGCACTATCAGCTGACCTAGAGACTGTGATTAACCACATGGACAATCAATGATGGATACGTAAAGCAGCCTCAATAAACACTCTGGGTTCCAAGGCTGGGGTGAACTTCCCTAGCTGGCAATACTCTGCATACTGTCACACATTGATGCCAGTAGAGTACTGCTTTCTGACTTCAGAGAGACAGGACAACAGCTGTGTTTGGTACTTCTCCTGGGCTCTGCCCTCTCCTCTTCCTTTGGCTGATTTTGATCTTTAACATTTCCCTGTCATTAACTGTAACCATGAATACAAAGCTTTCATTGAGTTCTGTGAGTCCTTCTAGCAAATTATCTAACCTGAGGGTTGGTTTTAGGAATCCTCCAGGCTTAGAAGTACTCGCCTTCCATTCACTCTGACTTCTGCCAACCAGTCCCTTTTTACCTTCCAGATGCCAACTGTGCGGGGGTGGAGTTGGGGGTGGGAATAAAGAGAGTTGCTTAGCAACATGGAAATGAGAGAAGCCATAAGGCTTCCCAGTGTTGATGCGATCTTCCCTATTTCTGGGCCTCTTCCACCTTTCATCCCAGAGGTAACTGGTTCTGTGAATTCTGAAATGTAAATAAGTTTATTAGTTTCTCCATTGATTTAGAATTGGGGTTTCCTGGGTCTACCAAGTTAGTTAACACCATCTATCTGCTTTCCAACTCCCCAAATTCTGGTTGTTTCCTCTATTTTCTCCAACTTGTGGGTTTTTGTGTGAATGCACCTGCTGTAGCAGCCATAGGGATGCATCACTCAGATCTCCCTTCAAAGTTATCTGATGTGAAGAGTGCAGTTGGTACTTTCAGATCCATCAGGGCATTTGTGCAAAGGCCACGCTCCCCTTGGTCTCCTCCCAGACACTGACTTGAGGAAGTCAGCGGAACAAAGCCAGGCTATTTCTACCCAATTCTGAACTCTACTAAAAGGAATCCTTGCCTGGGAACTCTCCATTGGCCTGACCGACTTTGTCTTAGAGTTGCACTGCAGTCTGAGTTTTTGCTAATCAATCTTTGTTTTCTCTTGTTACAGGTGTCAGACCCACACTGGAGTCTGAAGGCTCTCTCGACCTACACCTGCTCCATCTCTGGTTTATCCTCCAGTTGTGTTTCCTCTAATAAATTCTTGCACATCTAACTTTGTCATGTCATCTGCTTCTTTGAGGACTCAAATTATCACCCAGAATTTTGGGAAGAAGTTTTATTAGATATCTAGTCCACTGTCTTAATACAGAAACCACCGTGAAGTTTTTATGTTCTTCAAAGATTACACATTTCAAGTTTCATCTATCTGTGGGAGAATGAATTACTTTCAACACATTTATATCTGAGTTTGTTTATTGTTCTGATTTACTGAAACTTAAAATATTCCATCAAATTATCCAGGAAAATCCAGGTGGCAGAAATATATAATATGTCCATTTCATCAAGAGGTCTCAAATTTTAAGAGGCCAGAAAATGATATATATACTATGCCATTTAAATCACTTCTACCTTCTATACTGAAGAACTCAAGTATAGAAATAAACTGTGGTGCTGAGGTAACACTGTAACCTGCTCCCAACATGACTGCATAGGTGTCTAAGGTTAAGTGTGAAGATTACTGTGAGGTCTCAAGTTACTTAACTCATCAATCCCATTTGTATTTCAATCCAAGCAGCATATTTTACATGCACCTGAAGGAAACATCTTCAGTGTGTTCATGTGTGTGTCTATGTGCACATATGTGCAGGGGATGGGTGTAATCAGGGAAAGGCTGACTGAACAACACTGAAAGGGCATGCTAGAAGTCTGCTGTTGTTGGTAATACAGAAACATACACAGTCTTCATATTCAAAGTCTTCACGGGGATGTCTTCTGTAATTTCTAGAATGGAAAGAAAAAGTTGAAAAAAAATCAGTATTTTACCTATTGGGGGTGAGTATTTTAAAAAAAGTTAACTGCTGTGTAGTAAGGAATTTGGCCTTAACCCAAGAGTTCTGCCCTTTGCCCCAGCTCCTGAGTGGAATCTCTAAATCCTTGGAATTTCTTAGTAGGAGTCTTTGTTTCTCATGGTGGGCCCGTTCACCAAACCTGACAGTTGTTGCTAATGAGGTGATTCAGTGTAGTGTTGGCCACGACAGAAAGACAAAGTATACGATTTAGGATGGGGACGCTGGGTCGCATGGTATTATCAGCTTAGAAAGACAGCAGTCATGCCTAGAGAATGAAACCTCAAAAGAAACTGACACCAAGGCTCAAGTGAACCTCCCTGGTTGGTAATACAGTCTCTGTGTTGTCAGATTAAGGGATGGGAGAAAGAAACATTATCCATGACTCCAGGGGTCTCTCTCTCGCTCTCACTGCTTCTAATGTGTATCCTTTCCCTACCCTAATTCAAACCATGAGTGTAATACCTTTCCGTGAGTCTGAGTCCTCCCAGCAGGTTACTGAACCTGAGAGTGGTTTAGGAAAATCCCTGGAACTTGCAGTTGGTGCCAGCAGTGATGGGGGTCTGACGTGGATCCCTTACTGAGTTCACAGAACCCTAACTCTGTGCAGGTGGAGTCAGATTTTGGACAGACTCCTGGAGCCTTCTGGAGGACTATGCCATCACCTCACAGTTTGGCTAACTCTGGGTACTGCCAAGATGGTTGTTTTTCTTCATAAACAGATACTTCCTATGTCTACAAGAAAAGCCCAGAAGCTGTGCCAACTCAGTATCCCAGATATGTGGTTTCAAAATATGATTCTCTATAATTTGAAGAACAGCTATTTTCTATGTCTGGAGAAGTAAGAGTACATAATAAGCCTAGGACATGTTTGCTATGTGAGAAAGCAAGAATTTACCAAAGACACAGGATCATGTTAAAGAATACAGGATCCAATATGGCCAATAAGGAAAACTCTGAGCATCCAAAAATATAACCCAAATGCAATTGATTAAAACACAGTGAATATACCACTCAAAAAGAAAACAAAGAAAAGAGAAAATTTAAAGTTATCTGCCTACTGTGGAGCATTTTGCTTCTAGTCAGATCTGAATTTAAAGCAAACAGATGAGCTTTCTTTAAAAATAGCTCTTCTCCTACCTAGCAGGCAATCCTAGATGTGAGAACACTCTCAAAGCTACTTCCTTAATAGATAATCACAGGACCTGGAGATGATGTTTAGAGTTTAGTGGAGCAAGCAAGAAGACATTTAAGAGTTTCTAAAATGGTCAACATTTTGTGGCTCTTCTAATTTATCAAGTTACTGATACTTTATGAAAGACAATTCTGAGAGAAAAGGCATAATGAAAATGAAGCTACAGATACTAGATTGGAAAGATACTGAATTAGAAAAAGTT